AAGCACCAACAATTTAAAGTCACATTGTTGGGGGTTTTTAAAGCGGTTTTTACCGACAATAAATAATGAGGTATTGTTTTGTTATGATTGCGTTATAAATACTGTTCTGGAATTTAAATAAAATTTAACAGTATTTAATAATATGTAATAATGTTTTTAGGAATATACAGTAGAATCCTGTTTTAAAGACTCCGCTTATAGTGTCCGTCCGGGTTGTGCGTCGAAAACTCGATGGTTTGGTTGGTCCCCATACAAAGTTATATGAAAGGGCCTCCGCTTAGAGCGTTTCCGCTTTTAGCGACAAACCGCTTATAAGAATGAAATTTTTCAAGAAAATTGAAAAATTTAACCGGATATTGCGTCGTGCCGGAAAAAATACAGTGCCATAGTTCCAAATTTAAGCATCAAAACACGCTGTTAGAAATGTATGTATTTGCCAGTGATCGGCACCCTTGCTTATGTGCGTAGCAGCGACACGAAGGATCTTGCACTGGCACAACTCTGTTAGTTTTAGCTGTCGCCTTAACAACGCTGCTGCGAGAGAGGGAGAGTCGAAGTGCAATGCCGACGTCACACTGTGTGTGCAGACCTCATAGTCTATTCCATGAGATGTGCCGTTATATTTTTAGTTTTTTCTGTTTTTTTCCGAGTAAAACTGAATGTTTTAATTTGCCAAATGCAATATGTGCAATAATAAGCTCATTCAGTTTTCAGTATTTAGAAAAACCTATGTTTTTAAATTTAATTTATTAAATTTTTCATTTTAATTAAAAAATTAATTTGATTTACTTTAAAAACCTATTACAAACACAGCAACCATAAAATAATCAAAAAAAATATTTTTTTTCCTCCTTTTGCTTAGTGCGTCTTCCGGTTATAACGACGAAAAATGGTCGGTCCCTTGAAAGTCGTTATAACCGGATTCTACTGTATATAGTTTTGTTTTAATTGTACATAAAAATAAAAAAGTGTTAGAACTGACGATAAACAGATTTTCAAATGTGATAACAAACATTTATTAAATATAATTTCGCATTTGTACTAATATTTTACATAGAGTATGCCTAGATACTATTTCAATTTTCTGGAGTAATTACTTTGAGGTCAGCAATATGTAAATAAAGAGTTTCTATAATTAGGCGTTCCCAGGTCAGTTTTTCTGAGGTAATAAAAAGTGCAGTTTTGGATTTCTTGTTTCGCTTTTTCGCAATAAAAAGTTTCTTCTTCGAAATCGATCGACGCCCCTTTACCCCATTGAAACCCTATACACCCATCGATCATGATCTCGCTTCCTTCCGCAAAAAATTCCCACAGTGCGAAAATCGGCGAAGGATTGCGATTGAGATTGAGATTAGGAAAAGGAACGGAGTCGGGCGAAAAAGAAATTTACGAGCGATCGAATAACCGAGGCCCAGGTATCAAAGGGTGCAGAATCCTGCGAGAGGTCCTGAGGCCGGGTTCAAATGTGCCACGTCTTATGATGTCACTGCTGGCGAGGCTGCAGCAGCTACCCCAATCTCCAGATAGTCATCGGGCGTCTTCGCCCTGACCCCGATCCTCGTCGGGTTCACAGTAAATTACGCGCAGAGGTGAAATGCAAACAAAGACGGATCGTCTGGCTTGCCAAAGGTCTGTCTCGAGGTCTCCAACCCTTGCTCGCCGCTTTTCTTTTCTTTTCCCTGTCTTTTCCCCTTTTTCCTTGCGCTCCTTTTTGTGACGAATTTAATGATTTTTGCCTCAAAACTGAAGCGATTTTTCATTGACCCAACGGCGGGGTGAGTTCAGAGTTCGTCTTGGTTTGGCCTGAGTCTCTGTTATGCCAGCTTGAACTGCTAAGTCGTTCACCCGTGAAGAACGGGTCCTAAGGAGAGGTTTCCGGCCCCGACTAAGGCTGCTTTTTGGGTCATTGCCGCATTAAGACGAATTTATGGCAATCGAATGCCAATAGTCATGCAGATTAATGGGAAAGGCTGCCCAAAGGTGAACTACCCAAGTCACGGTCTTTGTTCGATTTTTTATGGGTCAGTCGAAAAGGAATCATGACCTACCATTATCATGATTTAGTTAGCAAACTTTATCATACACAAAATAAATGGTTAATCCATAAAAATGCGTTAAGTATATTTACCTAATGAATAACAATCTTCAGATAAAAATATTTTAAGTAAAGGTCGTTTTTTTTACTTTTTTTGGAGTTATAAGTTTTAGAGGTATTTAATATAAATATTTTAGACAAAGAATATAAACAAATATCAACTTATTGTTTCTTGTATAGGAGCAATAAAAATGTTGTCAAAAAATTAAACATTTTATAAAATATTAAACCATTTGGTTAGCCAAAGGTAATCATGGATGTAGCTTTTTAACATACATCTCATAAAATGTAATATTTTCTCAATAATGAGTTTGCTTTCAATACACCGAAAAACTACCCAAAAAGGTATTTTCACCGACTACAACAGGCATATCTCTACCACAACATCAAACACTTTAACCATCAAAATAAGATTCATCAAAGAGGGGAAATGGTCCAAATTTGAACAGACTTTTCACTCATCCACTGAACATGCAAATGACCGTTTTGCGAGGGTAACAATGCCTTGGATCTTTCAAAACAATTTGATGCTACATTTGTATGCACAATATGGATGGGCAAGGGGGCGAGGAGGAGGAGGTAGGTGAGCTGGAAATCAGGGCCGGAAATTGGGAATTGGGAGTAGACCAGCACGCTGACCCGAAATTATAAAGTTACAATAGCGTCGGCAACCCTTTGCTACCCCCGAACGAATCGAATTACAGGGGCTCTGCCGGACCGAGGACCAAAGACCGTGGACCGACCCCTGGACAACTCCGGGTTTGCCGGGCTTGTTAGCCGCGCCGCCCTTCGGGGTTACGCGCTCATGTGGGTATTCAAATTGCTCGATGCCAGCCCAGGATTTGACCAAGCAAATCCCTTCTAATTTCGATCGGAGAGCCGCGCATGTGCAGCAGATTAAATGTTGGACGCTGTGCAGCTTTCGTTGCACAAACTCGGGCAAACTGGTTTTGGATTTCCTATGCCTATGCTTATTTCTATGCCAGGATGCTGGGCTGTCCATCCATCAAAGGACTTGGACGCTGAGGGGAAAAACAACAAGTCATTTGAAGTTTTAATAGATGCTGCATCCTTTTGTTCGGAAAAGTAGCTAAAACTGGTTCCTAAACCAGACCAACCAACCCTTTTCCCTGGCCGGAAATTTTATTTTAATTTTGTTTCCTTCGATTCGGGCAAGTTTTCCCTGGGAAATGTCTTGTCCTGAGCCTTTTTTTAAGAAATTTACAATTTATTTTGGTAGAGTTTATCTCTTGCCTCTTAATGGGCACTTTGGGTTATGGCGTCTTGAGAGATATTTGGGAAAATAAAAAGGGATTTTAAAATTCATAATCGCGCTGTCAATGAAAGAGCCATAAATTATCAAAGGATATTTTTAATAAAAAAAATATTTAAACGAACTATAAATAGTTTTGGTAGAGTACGGCAGGAGATTAAATCCGAAAAATGCCACGAGCCGGCCACTTAATCAAAAACTCCAGTTCAACCCTTGGCCGCACTTCAACTGACCACTGTCCTCACCCGAACTATCATTGCCATTGTTCCTCATCCTCCCTTTCCTCCGCGGAGAAGGGTCAACATGCGGCACGCGCGAATGGTCAGGAATCTGAATTCTGTGCGATTGCAGCCGACTCATTTAACGGATACGGCAAACAAAGCAAGGATTCCAATTTGCAAAAACATATATTATGCTTTCATTAAGCGGGCTTTGTTATGTAAATTGCAAAGAATCATTTTTCGCTGATAGCTAAAAAAGCACTAACGCACAAAATCGGAATTGAAAAAATGTATTTGTAGACAACCGTTAGGTTGTAACGTAAAGTATTTTAAAATTGCATATATAACTTAAAATTAAACATTGGTTACGCTGGGAAGTTCAAACATTTAATTTTTAAAATATTTTTTACATTTTTCATAAAAGGTCATATAATTTTCACAGAGGTTAGTAACTCAGTTAAAAAGATATTTGCAACGAATACATACATATATAGTATATATTCTTTCTGAGCACCCCAAGGCGAGTTAATATAGCCATGCCTATTTTTTTCTACTACTTATTCATGTACCGTAAACATTAATATCTTGCCATAGCATACAGGCTTACATCTTGATATATTGTCAATTTTTTGTAAGCTTTTTAGTTTTGTTGTAAAATATATCTGTCATAGAACATTCTTAAAACCCATCGTCGGTGGTCCAAAGCTAATATACCCTTGAAGTTACAACTTAAGTGTACTCCAAACTCATCACAAATTTAAAGTAAAAAGATTTTTCCCATTGTTTGTTCAATCCTTACGACGTCAGCGATAAAGTTTAATATTTTTTTCTCATTTGTGTGGTAGCTTTTTAAGGTAGTAGTCCGTCTTATAGGACATAATTTTTAAATTTGTATTATCGTAGCGAATTGCTTAATGTTGAAAATGTAGTAAAGTTTAACAACATCGAAGTTTTGACTATTATTAACAGCTACATGATAAGGTCGTTCAATTTTAGTTGGAAAATAAAAGTCGTTAGAAAACTCGATATTCCAAAAAAGAGGCTTACCGAATTGTGCGAAAAATTGCAAAAAATTGACCGAGTTGCGCTAAAACGCTTTTTGCAAATAAAAAATGAATGTCCGAGTTGCGCGAAAGCCGATTGCGGTAAAAAAAAAACACCCGGAACATTGCGGAACTTATTGAAATTAACAATACCTTTTGCAAGATTTTTACAGCACCCAAGACTTATGCTATATTTTTAATCAAGTCATAAATGAAATTTTTGTTGCATACCTACAAGTGCCTTTTTTTTCAAATGGGTAACCAAAGGAAAGGCAATTTAAAAACGGCGCGCTAAATTTGTTTATTTTGGTATTTTTTATTGAATCTGGTATTTCGACTCCACGCGTTTTAGAAACTTATTAACCACGGTCCCTCTTCATGTGTGTTTCCCGCGAGATGTGATTAATTTTTTAGTTTTTTATGTTTTAAAACATATACCAAGGGGATACACTCATCAAAACGTCATTTAAATGAACAGCTGTGGTGAGTTTTGAATAAGCAATGAATTATTTCCGCGGCTTGTAACTACATTGGTTTTATTTAGATTTCACCATGGACCTGGAAAACAACAATAACACCCAGCTAACCGGCGAACAAACGGATCAATTTGCAAAAAAGAGAAAATCAAGTATTACCGTAAATGACAATGAAGTTGAAGCCAAAAGACTGAAGAAAACTGAACCTGAGGAAACCCGCCCGTCTCCACAGAGCCCAAAGAAACGCCTGCAGCTTATAGAGAAACCCAAGCACAACAAAGATTCTCATTTCATTTATGGTAATTATAAACACTATTACGGCAAACGGATCCTGGACAAGAATTTTCACGACATCCGTTTGGACGTGCTGGCCACCCAGCCGGAGTTGTTCCGTGGCAAACGGCTCCTTGATATTGGCTGCAATTCCGGGCACCTCTCGATCCAGATTGCCAAGACCTTCGAGGTCAAGTCTCTAGTCGGCCTAGACATAGATCGTGGGCTGGTGAAGGATGCACAGACAACAATCACCCATTTGAAGCGAAAGGCGAAGACTGGGCTGGGATTCCCACACAACATGAGGTTCGTGCAGGGAAACTATGTCTTGGAAGACGAGGTACTGCTGGAGATTGAGCGGCCACAGTTCGATGCTATACTCTGCTTGTCCGTCACTAAGTGGATCCATCTTAATTTCTGTGATTCAGGCCTGAAGCAGGCCTTCCGTCGCATGTACCTGCAGCTTAACCCAGGTGGCAAGCTGATCCTTGAGCCGCAGTCTTTTGACGGCTATAAGCGGCGCAAAAAGCTTTCGGTTAGTATTACTTGAAAACAATTAAAGATTTATAATTTTCAGTAACAGCCACAAAAATGCTTTGTAATACCGATATCTCCTTTTTTCAGGAACAAATCCGAGAAAACTACCAGCACATTAAATTTCGACCAGAGCAATTCACCGAATATCTGCTTAGCGAGGAAGTGGGCTTTACAGCAATGGAACTCATGGGCACACCTGAGCACTGCGAAGCCGGATTCAAGCGACCCATTCAGATATTTTCAAAAAAATAGGAAAACAAAATGAAAGATGAATTTTTACTTGGGGAAAATATCCGTACAGACTTTAATAAACATGAACAAAAACAATGAGAGTGTCAGTACTATTTCGTACGTTTTTCTTTACTGGGCGAACTTGGTAACTTCTCCAAGACATCCGGAATCCTTTTCAGTAACTCATCGTGCGTAAGTTTAAAGTCACTGTCTGCCCAAAGAAGTTTCAGTTCCTCCATAACAAGACCAAGTCTTATTTTCTTAAGACCGTGCTCAGCCAAAGTGTTACCCCTAATAGGAAACTCTGGTTTGACCCAGGACTTGAGCTGATTGTAAAGATCCTGTTTGCCTGAGTACTTAAGCAACTGTTCCACGAAATCGCGTTGTATGTACTTCTGCAAACAAAGTTTCTGGAAGTCGCGCAGGGTCGTGTAATCAGTGTCCACCTGAAATTTGGAGTCTTAATTATGAGCCTTTTAAAAGTATTTGAACGTGGGCTTACCTTCTCTCGCTCCTGGGTGATGAACCTAGCAAGGTCCCTTTCGTAGGCGGACAACTTCAGACGCTTGTGCATCGCCATAGCACCTTCTACAGAGTGCAATAGTCCGGCCATGTACAAAATGGGATGGTGCGGCATCTCAAAGTTCTCTAAGGTAGCACAAAGGCGCTTGAATTCTTTTAGATTAGGCTCAACCGGCAAACCAATGTGCGCGAAAAGGTTACATCGATGCATCTCCAGCAGCAATTCGGACCCGTAGTTGCCCACCACTATCTTTTGGAGCTCCATCCAGATGCGCTCTCCACTTATTCTTGCAAGGCCTTCCGCATTGTCCTTTACGGCAGCCAGAGTGGCCTTATCGTGGCTCTTGTCATCCTTTGCAATGCGACCGTAAAAGCGGAAGTAGCGCAGGATGCGAAGGTAATCCTCCTTAATTCGAATGTCTGCTTCGCCCACGAACACCACACGACGCTCCTGCAGATCGTCGTAGCCGTAAAAGTAGTCGTAAACCGTGCCATCGAAGCCCAAAAACATTGAGTTTATCGTCAGATCACGACGGTTAGCATCTAACTGCCAGTTGGTGGTGTACATCACCTCTGCATGGCGTCCATCGGTGCGGATGTCGATGCGAAGCGTGGTTACTTCAAAGTTCTCCTTGTCATTTATGCGAGGAGTTATAGTTCCGTGCTTTTCCCCATTTGCATTTATCATTCGCACCTCTTCCTTCTCAAACATCACTTTCATCTGTTCCGGAGTGGCGGTGGTGGCCAAGTCAATATCCTTTGGTGGAATGTTCATCAGGATATCGCGGACAGCTCCGCCGGCGATACGCAGCTCGTAATCGTACTTCTTGAAGAGACCAATCAGCTCCTTCAGCTCGGCGGTAAATATGCCGTGGAACTCGGGAGTGTCCACTTTTCGGAACGCGGGATTGTCACGCATCCTGGGTGTTTTTCCCAGCTGGGCGATCAACTCAGGGGATGCTTCTCGAGGGCAACTGGTCATGGTTTTTATCCGGCGACACCGCTGGACGTTTAATCCTAGAGAGGCGAACGCACGTGTGGTCAGCTTGAGAAAGCAACGCGGCCCATTCATAGATGGAATACAAATTCTATGATTTCTCTCCGACTTATAAACAACAGATCAGCCGGAAGGTTATATGAAATGTTTTGGAAGCGAGTTTCGTGCCAAGTTGCAATTTGGTCCCAGTAATGCGAAGGTATACTCGACATGTAAATGACGAAAAACTACAGCAAGTAATCGGGACTCAAATTTACTTGAGGTAAGGATATTTTTAAGATGTTTTATATTTATAACGACTCCTAATGCTAACCCATTTTAAAATAAAAGTGACGGATATCTACATAGGTCTACATAGGTATCTCTAGATAAAAAATTCAAATGACTATATAACCTTCAAGTTTTATAAATAACCAACTGAATTGTTATTTTATGATATACTTTATTATTAAAGTCTATACTGGACATAAAACGTAACCCAATTTAACATTAAAAAACACGCAGTAAAATAATTGATTTAAAAAATGTAGGTACTAAACTTAACACAGGGTATTTGTCGGCCGAACTTCACTAACTCGGTAATCGTTCCTGTTGTACGGAACATTTTAATGGTTCGAATCTGGGCACACTAAATGAAACCTGTTACTCTGTTTACGTTCATTTTCGTAAATTTGAATCAATGCCACTGCGATTGCCGTTCGGTCAAGTCAGAAACTTCTTGCAACAAGGACATATAATTCGAAGGATGAGCTCGCAACCAACTGTGTACGTAACCCGCCCAGATGTGGATGACAGCGGCCTGGAGTTGCTGCGCAAGAGGTATGCTTTAATTTACTACCGGCTAATTAACTTCTCACGAATCAATAAAATTTCCAGCTGCCAGGTGAGCACCTGGTACGAGACCTCACCGGTGCCCCGCTCCGAGCTGATCCGCGAGGTTGCCGGAAAAGATGCCCTCTACTGCGCCCTAACGGACAAAGTCGACAAGGAAGTCCTGGATGCTGCTGGTCCCCAGCTGAAGTGTGTGGCCACCATTTCGGTGGGCTATGACCACATCGATGTGGCCGAGTGTAGGAAACGTGGCATTCGCGTCGGCTTCACCCCTGACGTTCTGACGGACGCAACTGCGGAATTAACCCTTGCCCTCCTCCTGGCCACCAACCGCCGTCTGTTCGAGGCCAACAAGCAGGTTTACAACGGCGGCTGGAAGTCGTGGGCCCCAATGTGGATGTGCGGACAGGGTCTGAAAGGATCCAGGGTAGGCCTCTTTGGGTTCGGACGCATAGGTCAAGAGATAGCGGCACGCATCGTGCCCTTCAAGCCGACCGAAATAACCTACACAACCCGCTCACCAAGGCCTAAAGAGGCGGAGTCTGTCAATGCCCGACACGTGGACTTTGACGAGATGCTCTGCCACTCAGACTTTATCGTAGTCTGTTGTGCCCTTACTCCTCAGACCAAGGAAATTTTTAATGCCGCGGCCTTCCAAAAGATGAAATCCAACTGCATCTTTATCAATACGGCGCGAGGTGGAGTCGTCGACCAGAAGGCCTTGTACGATGCCCTGAAGAGCAACCAAATTCAAGCTGCTGGCCTGGACGTCACGACACCGGAGCCATTGCCGCTGGATGACCCTCTCCTCAAACTGGAAAATGTAGTTATTCTTCCCCACATTGGCAGTGCTGACATTGAAACTCGCAAAGAAATGTCCCGCATTACGGCCCGAAATATTCTCGCTGGTTTAGCTGGAAAGGAAATGGAAGCCGAAGTGAAACTCTAAATGTGAAATAACAAAAAGATTGTGTACAACCCTTTCTACGAATGTAAAAATCCTACAAATGTATTTTAACGAAAGTTAAAAACAAATAACTGCGGGAGATATATTTAATAAAATATTAGATTTTGTGGTCTAAGTCAAAATAAAATAAGTAACCTTGAGGATCTGAACTTTAAATATACTTTATAGTTATCAAAAAATAAAATGCAATAAATATTTTACTTCGAAATGATATTGTTGACGTATGGACAGATACATACACTTTTAAATAAATCCTGCTGTTTTTCCTACTTCAATAACTTTGATTTATATTCTCCTATACTTTTCTGACTCACGTCTTCTGTTTAGATGTCAATCCAGAAACCGATGCCAGCAAGGACTTAAATTAATACTATCTATCCATAAGCCTAGTGTCTACGTGACTTGCCCGTATATATAAAGTTGTTGTGTGACAAATTCGTATAGTTATTTCTTCTGGTTAACTAGAACTAACCCTTAACAGCTTACAGGTGAGCATTTTTGATAGAAAGAGCTGGGTTGTACAGATTTCGTGCCAAAACGATTATATTGCACTATATTCGAGAAAATTTATAAAGAAGTCCTGGATGCGGCTGGCTCCCAACTGAAATGTGTGGCAACCTGTTCGGTGGGCTATGAACAAATCGATGTTGAAGAGCGTCGAGCCGGAAAAAAGCTGAAGCTTTCAATGCGCGAAAGGTTAATACGTCTTCATAGAGTTCTGCTGTGCTCTGAGTCCTCAGACTAAGAACTCTCCAAAAGATGAAGCCCAGATGTAGATCAGAAGCCGTAAAGCCGAGACGCGTTCTGGCCACAGGTCTGGATGTGACTAATCCGGAGTCTTTGTTTAAAATCAAGTTTAAAGATGTTATTGTTGTCCCCCACATCGCTAGGGCTGAGAAGAAATCTGCGAAGAAATTGCTCGGATTGCTACACAGAATATTGTTGATGCTCTTTCGGGTGGAAACATGATAGCCGAAGTGAAATTGTAAATATGAACTTTGTCTTATTTAGTAAATGGGAGATGTCTACGGGCAAACAAAACAATTCATTTCAAACTAATCCTCGCCAGGCGGCAGAGGTTGGTTCAAATCACCAGCGATTGGCGGGGGAACAGGCAGGGGAACCAGAGACGTCAGCACGGGTACTGTGGATATAACGCCGATTTCCGACGGATCCTGCACCTCCTTCTTGATGTTTTCGGCGCTGATGTAACCGCCACTTTCATCCTAAAAAAGATAAGTTAATATATTTAACTTGTTAAAATTGTTTGATTATACTAAGAGAAATCGTTATTATCTTTTATATTTAAAGCTGCGCCTAACGTTAACTGTTTTTGCCAAGGGAAAGTGTGCGAAAATATTTAAAAATTAATAATTACCGTAACGAACACATCCACAGACTTTCCGGAGATGATATCGAGAACCTGCTGAGTAATGCCGCTGCCATTCATGGGCTCATCCTGCATGCTCTCTGCGTATTCCGACAAAGCAGGTCTTAGATCAGGGCACTGCTGCAGTGCGTCCACCAGCTGGGCAGGAGGAAGGTGCAGCAGAATCGGCATGGATTGCGGCTTGAGGCGCTGCACTGTCTTGAGAAAGCCCTCCCATATTACCTTCTGCCGCCAGACCTGCTTCATGATCAACCGCTGCAGCAAGTTCATGACAAAGTTGGCGAGGCGCGGGTAGAGAGTAAGGCTCTGGATGGTTGTGCGCATCATTAGAGTTGGCAGTGGGACGACCTCCACCAGCTGCTGCAGGACAGCCATAAGTACCTCCTGAGTATACAGCTCCCTTTCTGCCAAGCACAGCGACGTGGCCTTAACAATGGCCTTCAGGTCACAGACACTCGGGTCAATGGTGTGCAAAGCCACCATTATATCTGTGGGCGATAACGCCATTGTCTGATGCGCGAACTCGGCACCGATGCCAAGCAATCGATTAAAGACCTCCTTGACCACAGCTGGGTTCAGTTTTATTAGCTTAGGGAGAATGGCGATCAGCTCGGTGCGAGATAGTCCACTCAGCACGGGTATCATCACACGCACATCCTTCACTTTGTTCTGGTAGAGATCCCGTACCCGCCGGACAAGATCCTCGTGGGGTGCGGGCACTCGCTCTGTTAGAATGTAAATAATGCGTATCACCAAGGTCTCCATGCCTTTGGGGCAGTCCTCGATCAGTTGCAGTAAAGTGGCATTTTCGACACCCAGTTTCTTTATGGGAATATCAAGGCTTCGCAGGATTGTGCGCTTCAATTCGGCGGAGGTTGACACAAACACTTGACAAATTTTCTCCACGTAAACTAAAGGAACAGAAAATAGTTAATTAGTTACCAAAAAAAAAAAATAAAAAAGCTACGATTAAATATTTACTACTATTAGTTAATTACTGTAAAAGAATACATACCTTCCGGTTTGTACGGCAGAAGGGTAAAGGCCAAACCCAGGCAAACCTTAGCTGTGTCTTCTCGCCAAGCAGACTCTGCGGTTGGACGCCCATACTCCTGTGAGAAAACTGCTGCCGGCGGAGCCTCCTGTTCAACGAATTTAAGCCACTCCAAAGCGAAGTCGTCGATTCGCGCTGGAAGGATTTTGTACACATGGTAAAGACTGACAAGGTGGGACAGTGCTCGATCCCGAAGGTCAGCTCGCTCGTGTACGGAAAAGTTGAGTAGCGCTCGCACAAAGCGATTCTTTCGAGGAGGCCTGAGAACTGCCAGATCCTTTATCAGTTCCAGTCCGTGCTGGGAAAACTCGTCGTCTAGACAAAGCTGAACGAGGTGTCCGATCGAATCTTCCGGCAAAATGGGTGCCTCCAAATAAACGCGACGTATTAATATAATCTTGTCCTTGTGATCGCAACGCTCTCCTATGCCAAAGATAAGCTTATTCAACAGCTCGTTGTAGGCGTGATCGGGTCGGTTCTCGGTTTTTACGTAGGTGTGCCTTGTAAAACCCTGCAACAGAGAGTATTCCTCAAAAAGCCAGGAGAAGGCTAAGTCAACGCGCTGCTTCACATCCTCCAGTATGAATTCCATAATGCTGTAACGCACGTTGTCTGGGAAGGTGGCCGCAATCACAGTGACCAATTTGCGGCGCTTGGAGGAGACGCCGCCTTTAATGCACTGCCGCTCCGAGTTCAGAATGCGACGGACAGCTTCAGTGAGAAACTTCTCCTTCAGGTTGCGTGGCAACGGCTTGGTAATCTCCTGCAGCTTTAAAGTCTTTGCGCGCTCCTTCATCTTTTCTATTACGGTCTGCTCGCCCTTGGCGCGCTCCATGGTCTCTCGCAGCTTTTTTGTGGCCTCCTCCTTACGTTGCAGCTCTTCTTCACTCAGTTTTTGGACCGATATTTCGTCTACTTCCATGGCAGTAGGCGCTACCTCAATAGCTTGCACCTTTTTAACCCTCATTGGAGGCTCCCGACTGAACGTTGCGGCACCTGGGCCGAGTCTCTTCTCTGAAAGCTGCTCGCCAAACATTCTGGAGACGTTGCTCACCTGCTGCTGAATGGACATTTGGCGAATCGGCGAATACTCCTCGAGAAATTTTTGAGGGACTTCAGCGGGCAGGTTGGGCAGGAACTCGACCACCAGACCAACCACCGTCTCGGGATTTCGGAGATGCTCGGCCAGGAATTTTTCGTTGACTCGAGTGGACTTTTGCTTTTGACGCTCCAACTCCTCGGTGTCCAGCTCCATTTCTCGCTGCTGCTGCTCTTGTTGTTCGCTGGCCAAGCGGGCTCTCTTTGCAAGACTTTGTGCGGCATTTTCCAGGATGCGCTTTTGACGGCGAGCCATTTCTTGCTTGTCCATCTTTGGCAAAAGCTTCTGGATCTCGTTTGTCGTAGAGCCCAAATCAACGAGCATACCTCGGATCGTGCCAGAGAACTCGAAAGCTCCGCGATTCTTTAGCAGTGTCTGCAACTGCATCTTGAGACTCTTGCGCACGGAGCTCACCTGCGAGTCGGTGAGGGTTGGCGGTAGGTTAGCGTTTAACTGTTTAAAGGCATCCACGACGGCGCCCATAAACACGGGCCGCATTTTGGCTACCGTGCACAGGCTGCTTGTGCAGGCTATCAAGTTTACTGAAGAAATGTGCGTGGTGCCGTGGAACTGAAGCAAGATGTCGAATATGTTGCTGCCCTCTTCCTGCAGCTTCTGGCGGCGGAACAGCTTGCAGTGGTCGGGAACATCGCCCAGGGAGAAGTCTCCATCACGTTTCAGGCTATCCTCGTCAGCAAAGCTCTGCAGGACAACGACGCCCTCGAGGAACTTGATTGCGTTGGTGCGTATACCATCGTTTTCATTATCGATCATGTCCAGAATCTGGGCCTTGATTAGGCTGAGGATGTTCCACGCTTGTTCCGCACTGTCGCCGGGTTCCATGAGGTTGCACAAGTATTGCAATCCATTTTTGTAGATACTGCCGCAGGCCTGGATCACTCGCTTGATCACTTGGGCCGAGTTATCCCTTAGCAGCATGGACACGATGTTGATAACATGAGGCAGTAGCTCCACCTTCACCTTGCTGAAATGGTGAATATATTTTTGATAAGAGTTAACACTACTTAAAAGCGGTATTCGTACCAAACTTGCTCCACAAAGGCGACTACTTGCTTGCGCACCTCCATGTTTGGGTCATGGGCTAGGGACAGAACCGGTTCCAGAAACTCCTCGGCCAGTTCCACGCAGGACCCGAGGATAGTCTCCTGCACCTTAACTAGCAGTTCGCATTTAGTTGAAGCCGATGCGATGACCAATTCATTGCACCACTCAACCACCTAAGTTGGAGAACATGTAGTACAAAATAGTCAACTTAGGCTCAGTTGAAATAAGTTTCCTACCTTTGCCCTAGCCGTAGCAGTCTTCTCGTCAGTAAAGAGGTTAGCCGTCTCCGAGACAAACTGACTGCGTCCAATGATGCTGTCCATGATCTGTTAAGTCTTTCTGAATCTTATTAAATCTACGGATCTCTCAGGAAGTTTTCAAGAACTGCCGGCACAGATGGCAAGCGGTTATCGTTACATCTGACTAACTATCGAATAATTCTTGGCAGTGATGACAAATTATCAGTATCAAATCTCTTCATTCTTATACATTATTTGCAATTAATGCAAAAATGTTCACCACCAAAGAAAACGTAGATTTCGTATGCTGGGCACGATTTTAGTTTCCGGTGCGCCAAGATTTGAGGACATATTTTGGGCAATTGGCCCAAAATAAATACTTTTTAATAAACAAAATTTTTTGATATCTTTGATTGTTGATTTTTAAGTATTTAGCATTGTTTTCCAATAATCAGTAAATTAAAAGTATTTGCTTTTGGGCCAGAATTTAATTTAAAAATTTAAAGACTGCATTTTCTATATGTAGTATGAAAATGAGCAAATGCAAATATCGTATAGCGCGAATTAAAATCTGGACTTCTTTTTTCCACAACTATCGATAGATGCCAGTACTGCTGCGCTGGCCCAACGATATGAGGGGGTGACTATCGATAGGCCAGAGGCATCGATTTGCTCACATTTCTTGGGTGTTTTAGCGTGAAAAAACGCCTAAATAAACGAATCGGCAGCGTGTCAGGCCAGAAAGTGCAACCAACCGATCGCCGTTCGCGTCGCAGTTGAAGATTGGAGCCGCCGACGTCGTCAAAGGCGCCGAAAAATCGTCGGAGCAGCCGCCAGCCGTCGCAGCAAAGTGTTTACTAGGCTAGGGGTTTAGCGGAGGGGGAGTGCGATTGTGTGTGTGTGTGCGAGCGAGCGTGTGTATGTCTGCGCCAGTGAGTGGGCAGAGGCAGCGGCAGTGGCAGAGGAGCAGCAGCGGATGTAGCTCGTTGCCCGGAACCCGCATTGGATACCACGAAAAGCGAACGTAGACTCACGCAGTCCAACTTGTAGGCGCAAAGGAAATAAACACTGGAAACCGAAGACGAGGCCTTCTGGAACTGGAACTGCAGCAGAAAAGCTCAAGACCCGCAGCCGCGTCGGTGACCGCACCCTAATGTCAAATAGCCAAGCGAATGCCGGCAACAGCGGTAGCGCGGTAGCGGAGGAACCGACCCTTCATCAGCCCCCTTCGGCGGCCGTCCCTGCGAATGCATCCTGCCCAGCAGCGACGCCAACGGCGCAGTCGGCGCAGCAGCAGGCGCCGCAGTCGCAGTCGACGCAGCAGCAGGCGCCCCCGCACATAGTTGGTGCCTCAACAGCTGATGCAGGGACCGGCGTTGCAGTCGGCGTTGGCGTTGGCGTCGGCAGCGAGGGCGTCAATCTGGACTCGTCGCCCCGCGAATCCGGCGACGATTCAGAGGACGAGAGCGAAATTCTTGAGGAGTCGCCATGCGGGCGCTGGCTGAAGCGGCGCGAGGAGGTCGACCAGCGCGATGTGCCCGGAATCGACTGCGTCCATTTGGCTATGGACACCGAGGAGGGCGTCGAGGTCGTGTGGAACGAGGTGCAATATGCCAGCCTGCAGGAACTGAAGTCGCAGGAGGAGAAGATGCGGCAGGTGTTCGACAACCTGCTGCAGCTGGACCACCAGAACATCGTCAAGTTCCATCGCTACTGGACGGATACGCAGCATGCGGAGCGGCCCCGGGTGGTGTTCATCACCGAGTACATGTCGAGCGGGTCGCTGAAACAGTTCCTCAAGCGCACCAAGCGCAACGCCAAGCGGCTGCCGCTGGAGTCATGGCGCCGCTGGTGCACCCAGATCCTGTCCGCGCTCAGCTATTTGCATTCCTGCTCGCCGCCCATCATCCACGGCAACTTAACCTGTGATAGCATCTTCATCCAGCACAATGGCCTGGTCAAGATTGGCTCAGTGGTACCAGACGCGGTCCACTACAGCGTCCGGCGGGGCCGGGAGCGAGAGCGGGAACGCGAGCGGGGCGCCCACTACTTCCAAGCGCCGGAGTACGGCGCCGCCGATCAGCTGACCGCCGCCCTTGACATTTACGCCTTCGGGATGTGCGCCTTGGAGATGGCCGCCCTGGAGATCCAGCCCAGCAACAGCGAATCGACTGCCATCAACGAGGAGACCATCCAGCGCACAATCTTCAGCCTGGAGAACGATCTGCAGCGCGACCTGATACGAAAGTGTCTCAATCCGCAGCCGCAGGACCGGCCCAGCGCCAACGATCTGCTCTTTCACCCACTGCTTTTCGAGGTGAGTAGCCAGTCAAAGCAATTTTCGTGGTCTCAATTGGTCTCCCGCATGATAGGGGGCTTTCTAATCTAATTGCCGCATAAATCTTGCGGACGTTAAGTTCACTTGTGTTTTGTTTCTTAATAAACTTTTGTAAATAAATCTCTTTGCACAAATTTCAAAAGGAAAAGAAAAAGATTTGTCCAGCTATGGTCTTGAAAATGTATTCACTTTTTTTGGACAATCTGATACCAGCTATGGATTTTACCATAACTAATCAAAAGCCGCGTATAAAGTGTTGTTTTCTTTACCGAAAGCTACAATGGTACCTATTTGTGAAATGTATGTCCATATGTAGAAAAGGTGAAAAAGAACCCTAACATACTATATGCTTTTAATACTGATTTATATGCGATTCATAAAAATGTTCAAAATTATTAAATCATTTTTAAAAAAAACCTTAAGAAATGAAATAGGTATTAATGTAATATGTGGCTCTCGCAGGTGCACTCCCTCAAGCTGCTGACTGCTCACTGTTTGGTCTTCTCGCCTGCCAACCGGACTATGTTCTCGGAAACCGCATTCGACGGGCTGATGCAGCGTTACTACCAGCCGGACGTGGTTATGGCCCAGTTACGACTGGCCGGCGGACAGGAACGACAGTATCGGTTGGCGGACGTCTCGGGCGCAGACAAACTGGAGAAGTTTGTCGAGGACGTCAAGTACGGTGTGTATCCGCTTATAACGTACAGCGGCAAGAAGCCGCCCAATTTCCGCTCGCGGGCCGCCTCCCCGGAGCGAGCTGACTCCGTGAAATCGGCCACGCCGGAGCCGGTGGACACGGAGTCGCGGCGCATTGTTAACATGATGTGCAGCGTAAAAATCAAGGAGGACAGCAATGACATAACCATGACAATACTGCTGCGCATGGACGACAAAATGAACCGCCAGCTGACATGTCAGGTAAACGAGAACGATACCGCGGCGGATCTGACCAGCGAACTGGTGCGCCTGGGCTTCGTCCACCTCGATGACCAGGACAAGATCCAGGTGCTGCTAGAGGAGACGCTCAAGGCGGGCGTTATGAGCGACGGCGCCGGTGCCGAGAGCTCTGGTGCGGGGGTGACCACCACGGCGACCATGGCAGCCTTGGAGCAGCTAGAGCGGAACTGGTCTATATCCTCGGATACAGACAAGCAGGGCACTGCCGTTATGTATGTACCGCAGGAGCAGCAGCAGCAACAGCACACGGACGTAGACGTCGACGTGGAGCAGTCGGGCACGACGAGCAATTGAAAGTATCAGCTTAGTATTCAGGGCAGGCCGGCGCGTATTGTTTTTATTATAAAGGGAATTACAGATTACGATTTTATTACTACTATTATTTGTTATTTTTATATATACCTATATATATGTATATGTATGTATTTGAAATAATATTTATGTATGTATGTACCATAAACGATGTTGAACCAGGCTTCCAGGCAAGATAATTCGATGACATAGGAAACACGCTCCACACAAGGGTGGGTCGACTCGAATGAATAAGGCAAAACCAAAAAAAAACCGCAGAAACAAAATCCATGGTCATTTGTCGGCAATCTGGGTCTTAGAAACTATATAACATTAATTGTGTTTTTGATAACGTAGAATGCCAAAAAGCGTATCCGGAAAATGTAGAAAGCAATTGACCGTTCAAAACGTTTATTCTTTGCCTACCAAAAATATGTTAAACCCTATAGTTTCTTTGGCAAACACACTGACCTTATTTTCCGGAGCCACGATTATTAAAACACCGATCCACCTTACCACACACACATTTGAATAAACGCTGCTAACGAGCTTACAAAAATCAAAGCATTCGCTTAGCAAAACTCTGGAATGAGCTCGAATGGAATTCGCAGCTCCCAAAAACTAGACGCGATTCGAATACAAAAATCAAGATACGATCAGTTTTCAAAAATCTTCGGGGTGCCACAACGAAGATGATTTTTTCTAGGACTATATAAAATTTGATAAATTAGTCATGCCGCGACAAGAACGAAACCTAAAACCGCAGTGGAATGTATTTAAATGTATTACAAATATAAACAAATACGCAAGGCCACGAAAAATAATAAATAAATTATTTAACTAAAAACTATATAAACACAAGCAGAGCATGCAACAAAAATAATACACAACAGACATAGCTACACTATTAATTATTAAATAAAGATGGCAACCAGCTGACTAAATATTTTTCATTTAAAAAAAGAGTTAAAAAAAACGAAAAAGCAAGTATCCAATTTCTTCGATTACAAGATCGCAAGATTGAAATAGTATTTCAAAAAGTTACTTTATTTTGATTTGAGAGAATACATACTTGTAGATAATTATTGATAAGGTTTAATCTATGTTATCTTCACTTTAAGTAATACCCTATTCTTGGGTAGGGCCCTTATGCACTTCATCGACATTGAGCCTTTGGAAAGCAGACTAAGCACACGCCTGGACAGCAGCTTCGGCCTCTTTGGGCTCTGGAGTGGCGAGTTTGATGCGCTTGCACTGCCTTTCCTCCGATTCATCATCGCTAAAACCATCTGCAGCTGCGTCTTCAGTAGTTTTCTCTGCAGATTGCTCATTTTCATCGCTCAATACTGGCACCGCTCGAATTGCTTGCTCCTTCTCATAGAGGTCTAAGAGCTTGTTGCCTTCGTACAGAACGAAAGGCAATGTTGCTCGCTGGTAATAATCTGGCAGCAGCTCAAGGTTGTTAATCACCGTGTCCAGCATGTGCGACTTCTCGCACCAGATTCCTGGGGCATCGTTTCGGACCGGATTGATGTGCACATGAAGGTGGTAGAAGGACGGCTGGTAGTGAAAGTACATGCGCAGCTGGTTTGGATTAACGCCGTAGCGCTTGAAAATTGCGTCTTTGGACGACTTTCGCAGGTTGCGGAGCAGATCAAGGTGACTCCCGGTTAGATCCCTTAGCGATTTTATGTCATGCTTGCGGACAATGCCTAGCAGGTAGAGGGTTTCCACATTGCGCCCGTCCCACTTGAGGTCGGGCAGCAGGATAAAGCCAGTCTCCGGGTCCTTGTCCTCGAACACAATGCGTTCCTTTTCCTGCTTGTGCTCTAGTATGTTGTAGACCCACTCCAGGGAGAACTGGCTGGAGGTGAGATACGGAAGCGTTATCTTCTGGTAGAGATCAGGAGTCTCCCGAATAAGATACTTCTGGCATACGGAATATTTCTCGATGTGTTTGTCGGTGGCGGGATAAATGACTGTGCTTTTGACACCTGTAAGAACAATTTTACGTGTTGATTGTAGCCGGAATATTCAAAAAAATTATTTAAATTAATTTGTTACGGATTTAATAAAGACTTACCGCAAAGATCTCGACTGGGCACGACCTGAAAACTTCCGTAAATATTATTCACAAATTCGGTGTCCACCTTCAGATCCGCGTTGAAATAACTTGGCTTCTTTGGAGGCTCTTCAGATGGCGCACCCGTGGCCACATCGCTTTCCCGGTAAGCTGCAGAAAATAAAGACTTACATTTGTTAAGCACTTAGTATCGTTTTCATTTATTACTGACCATTTTTCTCAAAAACAACAATGGCATCGTCAGTTTCAGATAGGTCGGGAAAAGTGCCAAGAAGAGAAATACTTTTTCTAACACTGTTGTTAGTAAGAATCCGCTTTAGCCGGAACTTGGACAAGTCATATGATGGTGACTTCACCTCTGAGCTTTCAACTGGTTCAGGCATTTCAATCCGAAATTAAATTGTAAAGTTGGAAATTTATTTTCTTGCGGCTTATTTACCGAGAGTGACCGTCTCAGTGTTTCTGCAAAATAATCCCTGAATGGCCAACCGCTATGTTACCCAAGACTCGAACCTTGAAACGAATCGTTTATACTGGTTTTTAATTTCAAAAAGTTATTTAAGATTTTTTTATACAACAAATTAAAATATTAACGAATTACCGTTTAACGTGATAAGAATGTAATTCAAAACAATTTAAATAGGTAATTCAAAACATCGTTGTTAAATTCTCATTTATTGTGTAGAAGCCATTAAAGTACTGTTAATGAACTTTATAATATGTATCTGTATAAACGACTGCATCGCAACACCAAGTGCTTCCCAAACATGTTCAGAACATTCATAATCATTTTGAGCTTAACACTAACACACATTTTGCACTTACACCTAATGCCGATGTACACAAACGTATGGATATTAAAATTGGTTTCTCCGCTGGCGGTAACGATAATTACACAACAACACCTTTGGAGGGCTTGGCGCCCAGTATGTCCGATAGTTTTTGCTGATAGGAGGCCAAGAGATTGGAGTCTGTTATGCCAAAGGATTTGCAGGACAATTGCAGCGCGTTGAGCAACTGCATCTCCGAGAACTGAGTGCCCCGCTCCAGCAACACATTGAGTATTTCCTGTTGGTGAATAGCCAGGTATATAGGAATATCAAAAGCTGTACAATTGAAAATATATATCTTTCTTACATCCGGCTCCATGCAAAGCAATTCATAGAAGTGTTTGGCCTGATCCAAGGCCACTTCCCTGGAGGCGGTTATGTTACTGAGCGTCTGCTGAAGGGCGATCGAGTTTCTGCACATGCGCTGGACAGTTATTTGATCGATGTGTTCCAGATAATTGGATGCCTGAATAAGAATGCGCGATGCCAAGTGCGCCAGGCCTTCAAAAATGTACTGCAGGAAAATAAGGTATTAAAATCCGAGTGTTAAGGGGCAAATTATGCATCTTACCCTAGTCTTTCTCGGGTGCAGAGTGGCACTGAACGCTTCATCCATCTCAGACAGCCTTTTAGTCAGTACTTGTACTTGGCGATCCGGCTCCAGAATGTCATCCTTGGAGCCCACATAGCTGTTGGTCCTGACACTTGACTTCGAGCGTAGGTAGTGGAAGCATTGCACGCGTACCTCGAGGTGCAGCACCAGCAGACAGGTGTTCGCCAGGTCATCGAATCCCAAAGCCAGGTTAGTCATTACCTTGATCGTGCCATCTTTGACAGCGATGTCGGCACTGCACTCAGGGGAGACAGCGCTTAGCCCGTTTACCATCGGCCGACGCAAGTCGTTGGCAAACTCGGAGACGCGACACGAGAACCACTCCATGCTCTCCTGCAGTATGGCCAACTCCTTAAGCACACTGATTTCGACCAGAATCTCCTGTTGGGTGATCCCACCCTCGCCCAAGTTACTGGTCAACATTTCGGCTTCTCGAATGTTGCGCTGCTGCACTTGTATCGGACTTTCCTCCTCCGAAGGCTCAAAGCTTCCGCGATGAAGCTTCCTGTTATGCCGAGACTTCTGGCTGGAGGTCTTCAAGTCCGTCCAGTTGGGAAGCGATCTAAGAGATGCACAATTAGTTTTAAATCCGTAGATCATCCTTTCAAAATTGTATACTTACTTTAAGAATCTACTGATATCTGCATCTTTTAGCCAGGCCACACTGTAAATCCTCTTGTCCTCTGAATCTGGCTGAACGATTCCGTCGTAGGCTGCCTGGCAGTTATCGCGATAGGCCTTCAACAGAGCACACACCATCTTAAGCAGGTCTTCAGAGTAGCAGGGCAGGTCTTGGATGAGGCTCTTAGTCTCCGTCAGTCTCCGTTCGACCATCACAGTGGACTGCAGTAAAGGTCTGCTAAGGTTAAGCGCCTTTATTTCCTCAGGACTTATAATAGTGCGCCACGCATCTTGATTTTTCGACAGCGACTCGATAGTCAGCTGCAAGTTGCGGTTGTGGCCCTTGGATAGGAATGTGTTCTTAATATAGTTGTCTAAAAAGTCATGTAGACTGCAGGGTTGCCTAGAAGAACAAAGGATCGGTCAAATCGAATTAGTCTCGAGCATAGGTACTCACCCTGGCTTGCACTTCATAAAGTTCTCTATCTCCTTGATATATCCCATTAGAGGTAGATACACTTTGGTAATGATATTTTGATCGGGCGTGCAGATCAGCAGCTTGTCCCGTTGCTTCTTCTCATGGGGGAAGACGCCGCTGGTGGAGCCTTTTCCACTGCCTCCGAGCTGAGCGCCCAGATTATCGTCCACGGAGGCATCCGAGGCATTGCGACGGTGCTCCTTGAAGGAGTCGCTATTGCTGCTGCTGCCAACGTGCGACGACTTGTCAAACTTGAACATTGAGCGTTTGGTGCTGGTGAATGAGAGAATCGTAGAAATAATGTGAGCATGTTTGCTTAACTACCCGCTTACCTTGGCACCTTGCGCCTTAAAAAATAGGAATTTATGTTGCTTGTGGGTTCCGAAAAACCTGTTTGGGCACTTTCATCCGAGGCAGCATTCTGTATGTCCAAGTAGTCGGTGAGAAGCAGCTGCAACTGAAGAAAACAAAAGATTTATATGTTAGAAATTAAAGTCGGAAGAGCTTCAGTCTTTCACACTTACCACTGACTGAGCCTGGCCCCAAAAGTCTGTCAGATCGTAGGGTTGGGGCCCAACCACCGAGTACTTCTGTCCCACCGACAAATAGTTCTTCAGCAGTAAGGTATGCGTCTTGGCAATGGCCTTAAACTGCTTAAATATTATCTCCAGGAGGGTAAGTAGAGGATTGGGCTCCTCCGAGGCTCCACTTAGAGACAGTTGGTGCGTCGTATGCCGCACAACGTTGAGCAACTCCGTTTGGATTTGGACGCGCAGCGTCTCCAGCGAGTCAGGCACCTTGTGCAGCATTCCAAACGACTCCACAATAATGGCAACGAAGTAGCTCATACTCAGCTCAGGGTAAATGAGATCTGCGTCTTCAATAACTTCGGCCTTTTCCAAATCGAAGTTCTGGGTCATTTCGGTGAGCGCTTTGCGCACTCGAGCATTGGCTTCAATGCGATCCGTGGAGCGGCGGGCTCCGATTCCCCGGGTAAAACTGGAGTTTAGTCGACTGGAGTTGCTGCGCTGGAACGAGGAGAGAGCCTCGTTGGCGGAGTTTGTGTACACCTGGGTGACAAGTTCCTCGTGCATCCGTTGGTAAAGCTGCTGTCTCCGAGTTTGAAGGTCGGTCCGCAGGTCGGACAATCCTTCGACGGCTTGCAGTGGTCCATTAAGGGTGGCCAATGCATCGGTCAAGGCCTTGCTGGCATGCAGATACTGTCGCTTGGCTGTGTAGCCCACTACCCGCTGAGGCACTTTCCGCAGCTCCTGACTGAAAAGAAATCGAGTAGTTAGTGCGGGCTTTGTTTATTGCTAAGGCAGAGTGGCTTACATTTGTTCCAGCATCTCCAGCACGTATTTGTGCTGCACTGCATCCGTCCACATCTTCCTAAGTTCATCGCGCCGGCACTGGAGCAATCTCTTGCAGACGCCGAGGTTTTCCTTGACGGCATGGATTCGCTCACGGCTGGCAGTGACCTCGGAGGACACCTGGCTAAAGAGGGGCAGCACCTGGGTGAGCTGCTGGTCGTGGCGCGACACCAGCTCGTTCAGTCGCAGATCAGAGCGCTTGAACTCCTGCTCGATCTTTTGTTTCTCCTTCTGGCGTTCCTCGGTGGTCTCGCTGAACCCCAAAGACTTGATGACATTGACCAGAAAGCCACATCCTGCAGACTGCAAAACCAAGCCAATCACCCCATATTAGTCACTTGATATCTAAGAAAAATAACATCGCTGAACAAAAAAGAGGGCGTGCGGCAACAACAACAACCGGGTGGTGTCGTCATCAACTTTGGATCCGCAACTGAGGCGGAGCACCCTCGACCAATTAGTTCGCAAGGAAAACAGAGCCAGGAGGTTTTCCAAGAGGTTTTATTGCGTAAAGAGGCTACAGTGCGATTGGAACACCATTTTGAGCGAAGGTTTGAAGAAATTTACCTCATCCTTGCCGTACTTCACTCCCCTCGGAGGCTTTGTAGGCGGGGGGGCGTCCATGTAGACGCGATTGAATGTGAAAGACTGCTTGGCTGGTTCTTGGGTGAAGGGGGTGGAGGCGGGAGCGCAGGTTAGCTCAGTATTAACATTATATTCTTGCAATTTATGGTAAATTTGTTGTTAAAATAAGCACTTAAGCACCAGTGTAGCCGCTCGTGGACTGTTTAAAAAATACCATAGCTACATGTCTGTGAAACTATCGATTATAATGGAGATGGACACTTTTAGAAAACTGGGTACCCTGGCAATCCAATGGTGGTAGGAAACCGGACTTTTTAAAATTTGTTTTAATTTCATTTTATAACTACTACAAAATTTAAAAAGTTAAAATCAAAAACAAAAAAAAAATAAATAATAAAAGTAACAGATCTGTTTTTTTTTTTTTTGCATTTTTTAGATTTACAAATAAGATATATACGTGCATAACTAGAAAAGAACTATGGTTTTTATTTGAAAAAGTACTTAAAATCTTGTAGGTACTAAGTCTTTTCGCGCTATGCTCTATGGTACGCCTTTAGAACACACTCGCAAACTTACTTGCGATTGTAAAAAAATGAATACAACTTTACATCGTGCCGTTGTAGAAAAATTTGTAATACACATTAAAATATCCCAGACGTACAATATGGGATACAGTCCTGTGAAACTTCAATTAAACAAATATATATCTTTTTTTAGAACGGATGATTGTAATATAAAGCTCACATTTAAATTTAGGCGGTATTGAATTGATTCAAACGATTAGATGACATGCTAGTATCGGACCCACAAAAGAATTGTGTGTGCATGTCAAACTGTCCTTATAGCGTTTTACCTACAAGGGTACTCGGTGTTCCGTAAATAGTGTCCTTAGATTTATTAAAGAAATACAACATTAAAACAGACTTTTTCATTTTAACTTTATTGTGTAACGGTGTAGTTGCATCTACTTATCTGAGTGCTTGGTCGACTTAGTTGTCTTTACTATACGAGTATGTTAAGCTAAGCTAATGCGATAAAACAATTGTAATACTCGCTTCAAAAACGCATGACAGCTACATATGCATTAAAATGTTCTTTGGTTTTCGAATTGCTTAGTTTTTGATTGTTAACACATTTGTGTAATTCGTGTGCCTTTGGTATAAATACTTTAAATAAGCATCTTTTTAAGTGGTGCTTTAAACTTACTCTAGTTTAACTTTGTATATGATTTCTTCACTAAAATAGCAACATTTGAGACTGTTCGTAAAAATTACACAAATCTGAGGGCAGAAGATTATAGGGGGGTCACATTTGAAAGTTTTCCGTATTATATTCTACGTGTTTAGGTACAGATTTCTATTCGGAGGTATTATATAGATGATTGCTTGTCTGAAGTTCATGTTCATATTTAGCAGTTGCGTTTAAGATCGGTCGAGTGGAAGATATATGTAGATATGAAGAGTTTGGCTCCGATTTAGATTCACAGGTGGGATCTGGGGTTCATAAGACTAAGCCTAAATACACAGTTGAATGCGAGTTACTTTCTTAATTTTCTTGCCCTCCATTCGGATGGACAATGTGTTCTTCGCGATTTTTCGTGTTTTAAACTAGAAGCGTTTGCTGATTAAAATTTGGCGTAAAATCCGCTTATTCGACCCGAAGTAAGCGGTTACATTTGGGATGATTGTTTGGCTCTGGGTTGACACAAGTACGGCTTTGCTCAGACCAAAGGTATTTCACTAGTTTAAGTAATTTAAATATGCGATTATGCTTAATCTACCAATGCTGGAGGTGTACTTCTGTAGCTGAAGCCGTGGGCATGGGCGTGGCCGTGGTCTGGATTACTCCTTCTTGGGCAACTCACTGTTCATGATGCTCAGTCGGCGGATGTTGGGCTTGTCGTAGTCCTCCATCGAGATGCCGCGGGACAGCCGCCTCGATCCGTTGGCTCCCTCGAAGGAACCAGAGCTGGCGGTGGAGAAGGCGCGCCCGCGGTCCACTCCTGGCATCACCACCGACGTCAGCAGGCCCTGCCCCTTGCAGAACAGCAGGATGGACTGGGCCACCTTTCCGGGCTGTCATTAAAATGGGTATTAAAAGTCATAGGATTAGTATGTATCTCGTATCGTCCTACATCAAATGAAATGTTGATAAGAAATAATTAGCTCGGAGATTTTTCATATCAACTTGTACCATGTAACACCATTTTTATTCAAAATATTAGAAATGAAAACCGACATTTTTGATCGAATTTTAACTCAACTTGAATGTAAAGAAAAAACTTGTTTGAAATGCTAAAATAAAGTGAGTTACAAATTATCACAAATTGATTATATGTCACTATTAAACTTTTTATACTTCTCACTGCAAAATGAACTTTTTATCTGACTAACAATATTGTTCAGTTTGTAAACATTTACCTAACGCAATTAATAAACGTAATATAAATAGTAACAAAGTAACACTTACAGCATCGGCCAGGACATCGCCAGCCCGCTCGATCTTTAGTATGGTAACCCGTTCCTTCTCCACATCGCGATGGAGTTTCTCGACCATTGAAGCATAGGGACTCAGCATTCCCGTAATGAGGATGACGTCCACCTTGCAACCTTTGAGCGTGAGGTCCTTGCGACTGCGGTTACAGAGAGGTTGTTAATAGGAAATAATAGGAACATATAGCGAAATCCACCGCTCCGAACTCACTTCATAAATGCTTTGACATAGAGGCCGATATTCTTGCTGTTGAGGGATCGGTGCAGACGCTTCTGGTACTCGGCGACGATTTTGTCCTTGTCCGGGTTCTCGCCCACGATTTGCTGCAAAGTTCGGTGGATCACAGGAATTTTGTGGGCGGTGTCAGTAAGCAGAACATTGACATGAGGTGAGAAATCGTTAAGTTAAAGCGATCTACTAACTAAGCTCTGAACTACGGAAAGTGCACTCATGCGAAATATAAAAAGGACAACAACGACAACAAAATGGCAATATAAGATGAAGCGGTTTGAGGATAATTTCGATTTCCAAATTTTGCTGCACAGTTCTTGCTGTTGGCCAATTGAGAGGGAAACTATGTACATACCCAGTTCTAGAAGAAAGTAACGAGAAGTTCAACAAATAAATGTAAATAAACATGCTTCAAAACAGGGAACCTAAGTCTATGAGGGGTTTCAATTTGTAGCGAGCACTTCAGCACCGATTGAGCGAGGTTTGCGGAATGGTTTGGCTTAGGAAGAGACTTATTTAAGTGACGTTTGATCTGTTTACCTCCATAACCTGAAAGCGCAGACGAACAGAGTTCGTTTCGGCGGTTTGTTGTTAGGTTCAAACATAAAATAGAACAGAAGGTAAAGTGAGTACAACACTGAGATCAAACCAACGACAACACGCACTCCACGGCAAGGCCAATGGCACACTCTGGCTCGGAGGATCACTCCCTCCCCACTCATTACTCATTACTTACATGTCCGAACTTGTGGTACATCAGGAAGCTCTCGGCCGACTGGGCCACCTCGTCGCTTTTCCAGCTGATGAACTGCAAACAGAAAGATTTTACTATTTTCAAATATAGAAATTATTTTATAACCATACCTATTTCAGTAAGATTTTTGTATAGTACCTATAACGTAACCCCTCACATTCTTCTATTTTTGTGACCTATCAAATCTAAATTTCGCCGAAATAAATTATCTTCAAAACTGCGTATCAGATTATGACTGAGGTTGAACCTCAGAAAACGCAGAAAAGAATCGATTGATTATTACCAAAATGTCGAGCCATTCTATTTTTGAAGAGTTCTTAAGACAAAGAAAATTGCATTAAATCCGAGAACAACATAGTTAAGCTCTTATATGTTAAATTATAGTTAAATACGTTTATATAAAACGGTAATGGGAAACAACAAAACAATTTAAAATATATCTTTCATGTCATTGTTATTATTAAGAATTTTTTAACAGAAAGATGTGCTATTTTGTACAATATCCTAATTCTGAGATATTTAAAAAAAATCGGATCATGATAATAAAACTTTGATAAACAAATGCCCAAAGTAACATTCATGCTCGTATAATTAGGACATAAACATTTCTTTTGAACTTAGATATGGCAGTTTTTGGTTTATTGCAAGAGTCAAAAAGCTTTTGTTTTGCCTTGTTATATTATATTAGCTTCGTCTCAAAGAAATATTAAGTTCTTACATAGACAACAACTCAAAGGAAATGGTTATTTTAGGTCTGCCACTCTACTAGAACACCTCTCTCATCAGATCCATGGCCTAAACTATTTATCTCGGGGCCATAAAGTCTCGATAGCCATGGCCAGTGATTAAAGTGGGGCGGGAAAGCGAACCACGTTCCAGTGGGGGAAAACCCCCTCACTCTAGTTGCACTCACCTTGTTCTTGAAGGACTGCACCACGCTGGCGGCGCTGCCGGTGGCGTTGATCAGGATGAGTCCGAGGGCCCGGCTGGGATGGGCCAGGCCGAAGCGGGCCAGGACGTTGGCTCCGGCGCCCTCGCCCAGGCCAATCACGTACTTGACGTGCAGGTAGTCCAGCACGGTGACCAGGTCCTCGCCGAGGGCCTGCAGCGAGGGGAAGGGGAAGCCGTCGGCCAGGGCGTCGGCGTTGTCCGCGTGCCCCGGAACGTCCACGTGGATGAAGCAGGAGCGCTCCTTGATCTCCGTCATGCAGGGGCTGCTCACGAACTCCTGGAAGGAGTTGTCTTTTGGGGGAGGACAGGTGCCATTAGTCACCGGGATGCCGGATGGCAATTAGCTCCACTACTCACGGTTGCAGCCCAGGTCGTGGACCGTGATGAAGACGGCCCGCTTCTCCTGCTGCGAGAGGTCGCCCTAAATCACAGAAACACCCAACGTTAGCTCCTCGAAGGGGTCCTCTCTCCGCTCTCCACCCCAAACTCACCTGCACCACGACAGTGAGATCCCCGCACTTCTCCGTGCTGATATTGTACTTCTGCGGGGCGGTAATCGAAACATAAATTAAAGTGTGTGCTCGGAATGCTGTTATTCGTTAGGGGGAAAACTTGAAAACTGGCTAACTTTGGCGAAAGCAAAGTAAACGGCAAAATCATTTTCACGTGGCCATTAGCACAAACTCAAGCGTGAAAAATGACGGGCATGAAATGACCAAAAATGTGAAATGGCTTTCTCTGCATTTGACTTTGTGAGCGTTTGCTTTTGGCAGGTCCTTCATGTCCTTCCACCCACGTGTCCTCGGATGCTGAAAACAGGCTCGACTTGGCTTGTGTAATTTCGAATTTGAATTTGTATGTCTCGTCCCGGAATGTCAAATATTTGTGTGTGCTCTAATATACCCATTTGTGCAATGGAATTCGCAATGGAAAATTTGGGCCCATGCCCGAGTGACGAGCGTCCTTAAAGCCGACAAACTGTTGAATGTTTGTGCTTCACTACAAAAAAGGAACCTTCTCCCGATGCTCGGAGATATTTTCTGGCCCTAAAACTCCCTGGGGCTTATTTGATGAAAATTTCTAAATTGAATTCGGTGTGCAATTGGCTTAATTCGTTTTGATGCATGAAGTAAGAAGTGGCTTGTGTGTTGGTTCACAAACATTTTGTAAATCTTTTTGGCAATCCCTTGGGCGTATTTACATTGAAAGGGCGTTGTTTGGCGACTAACAAAAATTACGATTTTTATTTTATTAAATAAATAATGGTCATCTTCTAATATAATTAACTAACAAAGAATCAATAAAATCAGTAATACAAATTTTATATAATTGTTCTACATTTTGTTTTCTTATGCTTTATGCATATATTGATAGTACTTGCACTAAAGAAGTTCACATTTTTAAAGCCTGATTAATAAAAATCAAATTTTTAAAAGCCGAATTTTTCGACAAACATTACCACAGAAAATATCCTAAGTATTTTCTTGCTTGACTTGAACCTGATTCTTCTTAAGAATTTCGGCTGCCGACTTCTTGGCAGTGGGCTAAGTAAGTAAAGTAAATTTCCAGCTCGGTGTTCTCGATATCGATTGGGAGGAGCCCGGACAAGCCCAGGACATTGTACGGTGTGTCAGGAGCAGTGCATTGTGTTGGCCTATCAGTTTCAGGATGTTCTCCTCGGCCTAAGCCCATTTCGAAATTTATTAAGGCGTAAAGCAAATAAGCCGGCAAAGCTGCTCAAATTGAGAACGGAACGTCGTCGAAGGCTCGAGGTCCTTCAGCAGCCATCCTGGGCATCCCCACCCACACACACACACACACATACCTCAAACAACACACGCACACGCTCATCACAGCCATCGAACACTTATTGAAATTGAGCGAAACTATACAAGTGTCAAAAGACCAGCAGCGCCAAGAACCTCTTCGGGCCAAGAATTTGCCTAAGCCCTTTAATGTCTATTCGGCTAAAGCGAAGCGGCCCACCCAATCGGCCGTTTGTGTAAGCCAGTAAATAGATAAATAAACGGAATGGGTTCGGGCATGGGAATGGGTATTATGTAAATGCATTTGTCGAGTGGCCGCCGCAGCTTTTGTTCGCCTTCGTTTGCGGAAGACGAACGGCGGACGGATTCACCTGCGGGCAGGCCAATAAAAAGTTTTGCATTCAAATTAAGAGCATAAATAAATCAGACAAATTGCCTATTTATGTAACTATTTATGTAGCTGGAGCCAATTGGTTTGGCTGAAGGACAAAGCGCAACTGGGATGTCGAACCAGCCAGATGCAGTTGCAGCCGCAAAGTCCTCGACGTTCGCTGATGATGGGAAAACGGCTGAAATGGTTCGAAAAACCAAGCGCAGACCAGAATAATGACCGGGAAAACAGCAAAGAGCAAACAAGCGAACGGCGTGCTGGCCGTCACAAATCAATTGGCATTAATTGAGTGTGAGTGGGTCGGTTGGGTGTGAGCTGCCATCCGCCAAGGACAGGAGCACCCAGCACTATACGGAAAAAACATTAAGCTACATAGGATATACAATTTAAGTTTTGTTGTTATTGTTTTACATTTTGAGAACCTACTTCTTGAACTTTTCACTTTGATTATCGGATATCTGTTATTCTGTTTTTGTAGAATCATTTAAGTATTTATTTTTAAAATGTTTAATAAATGTTTCTCATATCCCCAGTCATTTGAGTATGTGTGTAAATCCTAATTAAACTTAAAGTAAAAGCTCTTAATTACCCAATGCCTTTTTGACTGTGTAAAACACAGCTATAAATACACATGAAAGTGTTATCTCGGGGGCGTGGGAGATTCATTAACTGCCGAGTTCCACTCAAAGAACGACTGCTATAAAGTGTTGACAATTGATGGCGGAGGAGGAGGGATTGTGTGTCAAGACCTGGGAAATTGCAGGGGAGAACTGTGAGCAGTGGGGCAAGTAGACGTGGGGATAACTGTCGTCGAGCGAAGTGTGTCCATTCGGCGAACCTTTTGTGCACCTGTTCCCCGTCTTAGTGATCAAATATGAACGCATACAAGCCGGCGGTGCCATGAAAATCGCTTATAAATAATGAAACTGCCAATAAATTGCTCAACCCAAACCAACTTTATGGATGAAGATGGAAGAAGGGGTGTATGATTGGGTGGGTGGTGTGTGCGAGGGCGGTGTGTGTGGGAGGTGTGTGTCAGCTGTGACGGACTGCCGGTCTGTTCGCCTGGCTGCACTTTACGACCTGCCGATGCCCATCCATTCACCTTTCCCCCGGAGAAGAGCCCTGCCACACCGAACAGCCGGCCCACATCTCGGATGATGGATGTCCTGCGGTTTCCCAGTCAGAAATTCTCACTGGCTAACAGTCGAATGCTTCTGCACACGCTAACGTGCACTGAGGGAAAATCAGACCAAATCAAATAAAACATCGAAGTACCAAGTGTTAATTGGTTTATCTGCAACTGTTAATGTTGTGTTGAAATTTGTTTCTGTACGGAAAGATGATGTTCTATAAGTTAATCATTGAAAAAACAGTATCAGATTGAGTACCAACATTGTTTTCTGTTTCAATTATTTTTTGTTTTATTTATATGCATTTTTAAGCTAAATGCTGTTAGCTAATTTGCCTGCCTGCCAAGTTTTCCAACTCTAACAACCAAGCCAAGAGATAAAGGGGAAGTAAATGTCAATTGAATTGGCTTCTTGCTTTCGAGTATTTTTCTTTTCTGTCGAAATTGTTTACTTGTTTTTTTTGCGTCACGAAAAGTTTTAAGCTTGCCGTCAGTTGGGCCTTGTTTGTGGTTCTAGCCATCAGTCAATTAAAAAGTCATTTGGCTCAATCGTTTGATTTATGATGAAAAGTCTAGCCCTGCCTTCTGCCGATTTGCAACTTTTCTCAGCGGAACGTTCGCTCGTCGCACTTTAATTGACTTGCGATTGGGTCAATGTTTGCTCTCTGCCTTGTATTTGCAGCCAAGTGCCCCTGCATTTCGATTCTTAATTGAGACACACGACTATATAGCCGTCACGTCTTTGACTCGATTTTCCTGTGACGGAAACACATGTGCGGAGCATTGATGGGAATTTACTTGAGGTGGAACAAGTTGGGGTCGCTGCTTCAATTGACAACCGTCATCTGCCAGTTAACCAATTTGACTTTTCCGAGGTAGGGAAATTCGAAATTGTTCTAATTCGTTGTAGGTTGGGAAAAACATGTTCTGGTACTTAAATATTTCCATCATTCACTCATCAAGTCAGCTACCTCTTTGGGTTCTACGAATGCAGTAACCTTCCCGTATTTATTAAAAATTCGTTTATTTTCCTCAAAAATTCCTTGAAATGTCAAAAGTCCCTAGCTTAGAGCCCCGTAAAACAACCGAAAAAACAACCTTCTCGCTTGTCATTCGCAAAATAGAGCAATACGGGTTTCGTTATAGAATTGCATTTTCGTGTCCACAAAGTTTGGTTTTCATTTCGAGCATTGCTCCGGCATCCATTGGATATCAGTAGCAGATGCAGATGGAGATGCATGTGTTTGGGTTTCGGGTATCGTATGACCCCAACCCAACTTGTGTGTGTGTGTGTACCCAAAACGATGTCCTTTGTGTGGGGATGCGAAGCCTGAATGCCTGGAAAACATGTACAAAACTGTATCACTTGCTCTCCGCAGGATAACAAAAGGGAGGTGGGAGTTGGGCGTTGGGCGGTGGGTTGTGGGCGTGGCTTTGAAAGGGAGGGCGCTGGGTGGGGTGCGGTCCACCCACGGCTGAGGCATTGCCCTCCAGCAAAAGCTGAAAGTTGCAGCTTGCCAGGACGTTGAAGAGTGAAGGGTGTGTTACTGTGCACGTGTCAACTCATTGACCTCCTTGCTGCTTTCCGTGTGTTGCCACAGCTCTTGGCTCCTCCGGCGTTCTCGTCTCATATTTTCCATGATTCGTTGACGTCGCCAGTTTTTCCCAGATTTTCCCCTCCTCCTCCTCCTGGCTGACTGACTGACTGCGCTTTCCCTTTTTCCGTACGGCCTCGATCCCGCATCCGCATCCCCCTCGCAATCCCATTTCACCCCGATTTCCCCCGTAATGTCGTAATCGTGTGGCAGCGACCTAAGTGCCCATTACACACGGCGGTCCTGCCCCATCATATCGCCTCATATCGCATCCTTGCGTGAGAGCTTCGGAGGAGCCGTCAGTCGGTCGGGTTCACTCCTCCGGATTGCTGATGGATTTCACAGTTGACGGCTTGATGGCTGATATGCCGAGTTCCGCCGAACGATGTGCGAGATACGAGACTCCGGCTTTGTTTTGTCGAAATTCCTAAACGAGTGTCTAACGGGTTGAATTGATAATGGAAAAAGTTTGTAATAACATTTTTAAACGCATTATATCAACTGACGTTTGATATTAGCTTTCTGATGGGCAACTTTTCGAATCCTTTTTGTGGAAGATTTATTTTTGTGTAATTTAATTCTGCTCCTTCTGTGCTTTCCCTCACAAATATCTCTCTGTTTTCATGCAATTAATTTGAAGTAATTCACTTAATCCCAT